AGGATCAGTGTTAGCTATTCTCTCAGGTTGAACCGGTGAGCTGGTATCCGTGAGTAGTTAGAATAGCCTGTTAGGCTAGGTAGAGCGACCCTGATATAACCTCTCAAGGCTATCAGATTAGGTAGGAAAAAAAAAAACCTACGTAGGGGTAAAAAAAAAGTATCGCTCGCTTGGTGGCCGATCTTCCCTTTGTCGATTTTCCCAAAGTGAACATGCCAAGTACCTGAATTTCTAAAATGAAATTTAATTGTAGTTGATGCTATTTTTTAAGGTAATTCAAAGGTAATTTTATAAGGTAATTTTCCTTGAGTACGGTACAAAATTACTTAATTTTCGATTCAAAAACCTCTAAATGTTAACACGCTTTTGTTAGCTTATCCTGTATCTGATCGAATATTTCAGAATAATTTTCACAAACTTCAAGAATTTCTACTTGAAAATTTGCCCACGCACCAAAGATCGATGGTAATATAACGATTTTAATACATTAATCTAATATTCTGATGAGGATGACTGGGAAAAAAAAAAAAAGATACTATAAATAAGAGTCGATCACAAAAAGTATCTCATAAAAAATTGATACTTTAATTACGAGCCGGTCACAAAAAAACCATACTTTAACTACGAGCTGTTCACGCGAATTAGATTTTAAATTATCATTTTAAATAATGGACGTGTCGTTTCCGTTTCCAGTATACAACGAGCAATCTATATATTAATACGTGAAGCAAAAACTTTGTATCTCTTCTTACGAAAATTGCGCGGACGGAGGAATATGAAATTTTCCACACTTAAAAAGAATATAGAGAAGAAGTGCACAATGCTAATATTTTTTTAAAATAATACATAAAAGATACATTAAATCAATAAAGAAAACATTACACACACTACATACCATGTATTTGACGCACATACGAATGCATACTATATAATGTCAAACTTTTGTTCTTGGCGTCTGTGGTCAAATTGAGATTAGATTGAATATTGTTTGTCTTTATTAATTATTTTTTTTATAGTGTATTTTTATATTTATTTTTTATGCCTTGGCGAAATTTGTGATTATAGAAGTATAAATTACAATCATAATAGTGTACAAACTTACAAATCCAATTAATTATAGTTGAATTTCGACTACTGCGGGACCCCTAGTTGTCATAAAAACACAATTACACAGTACAGAACGCGATCTAGAACTCGTAAAGTTCCGACTACCGATAAAGAATCCAATATTAAACTTCGCCTTTGTCTAGAATTTCCAATTTCAAGACTTCTCTTTAGCTTATATGAAGGTTTGAGCGCGAACTCAATTTAATTTAAGCTGTAAATAAAACTGTATTAAGACGTTCGTAAGTAGACTGTCGACTTTTCAACCTATTTCTGCTATGAACTACTGGTGGTAGGACCTCTTGTGAGTCCGCACTGGTAGGTACTACCACCCTGCCTATTTCTGCCATGAAGCAGTACCTAATGCGTTTCGGTTTCAACGGTGGGGCAGCCGCTGTAACTATACTTGAGACCTTAGAACTTATATCTCAAAGTGGGTGGCGCATTTACGTCGTAGATTTCTATGGGCTCCAGTAACCACTTAACACCAGGTGGGCTGTGAGCTCGTCCACCCAACTAAGTAATAAAAAAAAAAGCACTTAGAAAGGTGGCACAGCCAACCATGGACATCGAAATGGGTAATACGAGAAGGAACCATCATGTTCCACATTGTTGCAAAGCATATGGATTCAGGACTGAAAGTTTGATGTGTAAGACTTCCACTTCATCATCCGATAAATGACTTACGCATTTAACTCATCAAAAATAAAAAGATGCCTCTCCTAGATTTTTTTTATTGCTTAGATGGGTAGACGAGCTCATAGACTACCTGGTATTAAGTGGTTACTGGAGCCTATAGACAACTACAACATAAATGCGCCGACCACCTTGAGATATAAGTTCTAAGGTCTCAGTATAGTTACAATGGCTGCCCCACCCTTCAAACTGGAACGCATTACTGCTTCACGGCAGAAATAAGCAGGACGGTGGTATCTACCCGTGCGGACTCAAGAGGTCCTACCACCAGTAATTACGCAAATTATAATTTTGCGGATTTGGTTTTTATTACACGATGTTAAAGATTGATATATTCATAGATCAAACTTTGAAGGGACAGCAATTTTCTTTTCTGTCTATTATATCTTCGGAGCAGCCTATGGCATACTGACAGGTTAACCCTGGTTACGTCATAACAACGAACTAAATCAAAGGGCAACTGTAACTGCTATACAATAATACTAGTGGATGCAACATTACCGTTATGGACTCCAATAACCACTAGCACTGTGCATTAGCTATACAATGCATTTTTTTTTCTATTTATTCAAAGAAAAAAAGTACAAAGAAACGTGCAAGAGAAAAGTCGCTTTAATAAAAGTCGCGAGCTTACCGAACCCTAACACCACGTCTTTGTTATCGTTTTCATGATGCTGCCCGGTAAGCTCACGTAAACTTTAAATGCTTATTACTTTAAAAAGGAAAATTCTGTGTTTCAGCATTTTCATTTACGCTGACGACTTAGCTTACCTTAACTGAACGTATATTTGTATTCATATTGCTAGTTGGATGTATTGTGGCGAGGAGGTGCTCTGAAGAGTTTTTTTTTTCCTAAGCTAAAAACGAATCAACCTAACCGCAACCGCAATTTACTACAATGTAAATAAATATAACTACTTATAAATATCTTTGTTTGCTTATTGAATTAATTCATTATATTTTCAGACGGTAACGTGTTTTTTTTTTTCACAACCAGTCAAATTTTTCTTTTAATTCGTTAGAGCATCAACATCATCTTTCACTCCAGAATCAAACAGAGTTAGTTTACCTTAGTTAATGTAAATAGCTAATCTGAATGTCAAATAAACTCTAATTGAATTCGTTTTTCTAAATTTTAAATAATAACGTTGATTCTGGAACCTATCTATATAGGTAATAATAATGATATGTATATTTGCTTTAATTTTATATTACTTGAAATCGTATTTATGACATGGTATCTTCTTACTATTGAGAATTGTACAAGATTTGAAGTCGTTGTGGCCTAAAGGATAAGACGCCCGGTGCATTCGTATGTAGCGATGCACCGGTGTTCGAATCCCGCAGGCGGGTACCATTTTTTCTAATGGAATACGTACTCAACAAATGTTCACAATTGACTTCCACGGTGAAGGAATAACATCGTGTAATAAAAAACAAACCCGCAAAATTATAATTTGCGTAATCACTGGTGGTAGGACCTCTTGGGAGTCCGCACGGGTAGGTACCACCGCCCCGCCTATTGACTACGGACTCGCAAAAGGTCCTACCACCAGTTGCACACGTCATATATTCCAAATGATCCGTGAGAATGAGATTATGGACAATCCGAATGGCCCTCTTCTGTATGGAACCAAATGGAAGTAGCTGATATTGTTTCTAGAATTACTCGAACTAAATCGATGCATCCTGTTCTTTAGCTCCTATGTAGGCATTTTTAAACATACATAAATTAATGTGTCATTACTACTGTACCTTGCCACTGACACTATGACACAAGTCTTTGTAAACAACCAAAAATTAAAATGTTGCTAAAGTAGCATTTGTTGGTTTTGTTTCGACATATAATATTACTAGCGACCCGCTTTCGCTTCGCTTCGGAAACTGTAATTTATTATTGATTTCTCCACTATTTAATGGATGTTATTATACATATAAACCTTCCTCTTCAATCACTCTATCTATTAAAAAATACTGCATCAAAATCCGTTGCGTAGTTTTAAAGATCTAAGCATATATAGGGATATAGGGACAGAGAGAGCGACTTTATTTTATACTATGTGTGATAAGACCGTTCTGAATGTCAATAATCTTTATATATTAGTATTAACTAGTGGTCCCCGCAGTAGTCGAAATTCGACTATAAATAATTGAAGTTATAAGTTTGAACATTCTTATTGGTTCTGTTGTCAAAGACTATTATACTTCTATAATCACAGATTTCGCCAAGACTGCACCATTGATTATACACTTAATATTTGAGAGACTGCACTATAGACAAATAATATTAAAGACAAACAATACTAATTTATTCTCAATTTGACCACATATTTTAAAGAATAACAAAAGTTTCACAGTTGACAATTCACAAAGAGTATATTTATACGTATGTTCTGTGTCAAATACCCGGGAGTGTGTGTAATGTTTTCTTAATTGATTTAATGTATTTTTAATGCATTTTTTTTTAATATTAGCATTCTGCACTTCTTCTCTATATTCTCTATAAGTGTGGAAAATTTCATACTACTCCGTCAGCGCAAATTTCGTAAAAAGGGATACAAAGTTTTTGCTTCACGTATTAATAATAACTAGAGGTCCCGCAGTAGTCGAAATTCTACTATAATTAATTGCAATTGTAAGTTTGTACACTATTATGATTGTATTTTATACTTCTATAATCACAAATTTCGCCAAGACTACACTATAAAAAATATTAACAAATACAAACAATATTTAATCTCAATTTGACAACAGACGTCAAGAACAAAATAAGTTTGACAATAAATAGTATGCATGCGTGTGTCCGTCAAATACGTCGTATGTAGTGTGTGTAATGTTTTCTTTATTGATTTAATATATCTTATATGCATTATTTTAAAAAAATATTAGCATTGTGCACTTCTTCTCTATATTGGAAAATTTCATACTCCTCCGTCATCGCAAATTTCGTAAAAAGGGATTCAAAGTTTTTGCTTCACGTATTACTATATACATAGATTGTATTATTAGTTAAAACTAAATGCTTATTTTAATCACTATAGTCGAAGCCCGGCTAGCTCAGTCGGTAGAGCATGAGACTCTTAATCTCAGGGTCGTGGGTTCGAGCCCCACGTTGGGCGGCGTTTTTTACTTTACAAATTAATTTATAACATTTATTTTATAAAATAAGAAACTCAAGAACTGCGCCATTGTCACATTACCTGCAATTTTTCTTTCTCGCATTTTCCGCCAAAGTTGCTCCGCTTTACGCATCGGCCAATTTTCAACTTTCGCACTGAAACTTCTGAAGAACTTGTACTCTTTGAAATGAGACATTCTTCGTTCCATCTTGCTAGGAACCTGACTTGGAGGAGGTGGCGACGGAGCCTTCGGATCCGTGGGAGGAGACGCCATTGTGAAATTTCAAATGACAAAACGAAATACCAATTACAAATTTTTAACTGTCACTTTTAATTATGGTAAGTAAATTTATTTATAATGAGATTATTTAAATTTCCACTTTATTAACAACTTCTTGCTACACTCAAATAAAAACATATTTAGAAGTAATTAATGACTATAAAAATATAGCTTTTGTGCTTAGTGAATCTAAATATCAAAATCACGAATATCCCGCTACTGCAGTCAACGATCACATTATTTGAATCTGAAACAAACAGAGAAATACATTGTTTTTTTATTTTATTTAAAAACTCGCAATTGATCGGGGCTATCAGTTGTCTAAATGCATTTTTTTTTCTATTCTATCAGCCCATGGACGTCCACTGCTGGACATAGGCCTCCCCCAAGCCTCGCCACAAAGACCGGTCCTGCGCTGCCTGCATCCAGCGGATCCCCGCGAACCTCAATAGGTCGTCGGCCCACCTTGTGGGAGGCCTACCCACGCTACGTCTTCTAGTCTAAATGCATATTAGGAGACATAATAATACATAATTCGACGGTGAAAGGCTATTTGGTTTAAGCGAAATTTCGCTTATTACGCGACGTCTATCTTTGTGATTAAAGGTCCGTTTTATTTAATACTAGCGACCCGCCCTCGCTTCGCTTCAGAAACTGTAATTTATTATTGATTTCTCCACTATTTAATGGATGTTATTATACATATAAACCTTCCTCTTCAATCAGTCTATCTATTAAAAAAAACCGCATCAAAATCCGTTATGTAGTTTTAAAGATTTAAGCATACATAGGGATATAGGGACAGAGAAAGCGACTTTGTTTTATACTATGTAGTGATTAGTATCAACAATTCGATGTTTGAACTTCTTCAATTAATCACTCTGACAATCAGTCTGACTTCAATTAATTTTATCAAATTAAAATAGCTGAATAACTTTTTGTTATGATATTTTTTCGAAATTTTAACTTTATGCCTGAATGGCTCATCTGTAAAGTTGTAAAAATGTCGCTTAAGCTCGCTCGATATGTCAGACACTGGGATAAACCAGATTGAAGTACATCCTTTAACTTATTTATTACATTAAAATTTATACACGTTATGGTAGACAGTGGCTTGGCTCTGGCCCTGGCATTGCTGAAGTCCATTGGCGACGGTAATCACTCACCATCAGGTGGGCCGTATGCTCGTCTGCCTACAAGGGCAAAAAAAGTCTGCAATCGCTTTTGACATAGTTTATTCCTAGTATTTGTTTTTAAAATACTGATAAACCAACCATTCTTCCTTTTTTTTTCTTTTTCCTGCCTATGCTGATAGCCTTGAGAGGCTATTTCAGCTTCTCCTTAACGTGTAGGTGAGCTCACGGGGCTTAAACCGGGAGTGTTGCTAATACTGGCCCTAGTAAGAGCAGTGCTTATCAGAATCTACCACCGGATCGGAAACGCGAGAGAAACTCAGTGGGCTAAATGATTTCTTAATTAGACGGACTTAATAGTTTTAATCCCCTGTCGCTTTTTATGGCGCCTACGGGAATAGATTTTTTTTCTTTATTGCTTCTTAATTAGGCGGTCGTCATAATAGTTTTAATCCTCTGTCGCTTTTTATGGCGCCCACGGAAACAGATTTATATTTTTCTTTAATACACACAGAAAATGCAATAGAATGACGTCATAATGCAGCCGGTACAATTTACAGCGTTAAAGAATTCCAAAATTTGCTCTATTGTTAAGAAAAAAAGACATTATTTATAGGTTCAAAACTTGCCGCATAAAGAAAAATGTACAGTAATAATAAGCTAAATTTCTTATCACGATCAAGACAAATATTGTTCGTTTTCAATTGATCGGTAGACTTCGGTGATTCGAACAAAAAATTATATTAATTCCACCTCAGTTTCTTAACTCCGGTGAACTGTTCAAATACTTAACACTTAAGAGACAAAAGCAAACCATTAGACAACTTTGTCACAATATACCTCATCAAAAACCAGTGACGCTAAATCTTGTTAGAATTCACCAAGTTTCCTCAATAAGCCCATAATGATCGTTTATAAGTTATTCAAGTTTCTATTTCACCTTGAGAATGACATAGTTATATTTTGACAATAATTCTTCGAGAGTTGTCCTTGAAATTCTTCAAACTGACTCGACTGAAGTAGATTTAAATTGTGATTACAAGCTTCAATTAGAACGCGAAATTCGACCCTAAAAGGAATAATTACCAACGCCTTTATTAAAAATTAGCGGCCCGCTCCGGCTCCGCTCGGGTCTTTGACAAAAATCTCAACGATATTTGACGTTGTTTTATTTTTTTAAATAATAGAACACTTATTGTGGCATAACTATAATAGTTAGACATATGCTGTCGCGAGACTTTTTGTAAATAATAATGACGTGTTCTACAAAGTCGTAGTACATTATTTTATTCTATTATCAATAGTTTTCGTAGGGCACGCGATGTAAAGAATATTGTAGGTAATTTTATTTACGCCTTGGGTTACATTATTGGAGTTTTAGTAAGGATCTCTAATTTTTTTCAAAAAAAGATTATAGCCTATGTCACTCGGGTATAATGTATCTTCCAAAAAGTGAAAGAATTTTTCAAATCGGTTCAGTAGTTTCGGAGCCTATTCAATACAAACAAACAAACAAATCTTTCCTCTTTATAATATTAGTACAATATTTTATTCTATCATCAATAGTTTTCGCAGGGCACGCGATATAAAGAATATTGTAGGTAATGTTATTTACGCCTTGGATTACATAATTGGAGTTTTAGTAAGGATCCCAAATTTTTTTCAAAAAAGATTATAGCCTATGTCACTCGGGTATAATGTATCTTCCAAAAAGTGAAAGAATTTTTCAAATCGGTTCAGTAGTTTCGGAGCCTATTCAATACAAACAAACAAACAAATCTTTCCTCTTTATAATATTAGTACATTATTTTATTCTATCATCAATAGTTTTCGCAGGGCACGCGATATAAAGAATATTGTAGGTAATTTTATTTACGCCTTGGATTACATTATTGGAGTTTTAGTAAGGATCCCAAATTTTTTTCAAAAAAGATTATAGCCTATGTCACTCGGGTATAATGTATCTTCCAAAAAGTGAAAGAATTTTTCAAATCGGTTCAGTTGTTTCGGAGCCTATTCAATACAAACAAACAAACAAATCTTTCCTCTTTATAATATTAGTATATTATTATATTTAAAAAAAAAGACAAACAGACAAAAATTGTAAAAAATGCTATTTTGGTGTATGTAGCGTATATATATTCATATGCATGTAGTAAAAAGCGGTTATTTTAATATTACAAACAGACACTCCAATTTTATTTTACATATACAGATTAGTATAGATATCGTGAATATTAAAAGGCTTTTTTGTTGGAATTATGGTATTTTTAGCTTCACACGGATGAGTGAGCGAGCTCGAAAGTTCACAGGGATGGGAGAGAAGGTTCTTCAATAACAACTAGGGCACTTCCGTTAGCCTTACAGTTCAAGGGTGTTTTGCGAATTCATCTACAACCGCATCGGAATCGCGACTTGCTAAGAAGATCCGGCGAGAAAATCAGCGGGATGGTGCTATAGACTAAGTGTTTTTTTTATTGCTTAGATGCGTAGATGAGCTCACGGTCCACCTGGTGTTAAGTGGTTACTGGAGCCTATAGACATTGACAACGTAAATGCGCCACCCACCTTGAGATATAAGTTCTAAGGTCTCAGTATAGTTACAACGGCTGCCCCACCCTTCCAACCGAAACGCATTACTGCTTAACTGCAGAAATAGGCAGGATGGTGGTACCTGTCCGTGCGGACTCACAACAGGTCCTACCACCCGTAATCACTAATTCCACCAAGACCAAGTTTCATGTCAAATTCAATAAATACGGTGACCGGTATTCCTTTTTATTTAATCGTGCAATAGCATCGAAATTGGCTTAGAGGGAACCATCAGGAAAATTTTTTTGAAAGTTCTATTTCACACAATCTTTATTTCAATACTTCGAATACTCCATTCGTTCTATGAAATGACGTGAACTTTATATAAAGACTGATTTATTACGTATCATGAAACAGAATAGTTTTACTAGTCACTGGTAACTTACTACAATGGGTTTTTACACTAACATATACGTTGTACTGATATTTGGGTGGGCGGGTGCTTGAGTCATCAGAATCCAATGGATTCTGGCTGTGGGGTATGTAAAAGCTCTAGTGCCTGGTGTGACCTGCCCTTACAGACCCTATGCGCGTTCAAAAAAGCTAATGAAAAAGCTCACAATCATCAATTTTTTTTCTTCCAAAAAAGCCGTATAATATTAATACCTAACATGTACGTTATGGACGCATGAGCGTTCTAACTTATCCAACGAACCGTGCATCACCTAAAGTATCTCGGAGATAAATCGAATTTGGCTCATTAGCCGTCTTGAAAGCACTTAGTGTTCATACACAAAAAAAATACAGAACATCCGAATGTTAATCTAAAAAGTCATCTTGTACAAATAAGACGAATCAGGCCAAGGTCTACGTTGGTATACGCTTTTCAAACACTCAAAGGCTTTGCTTGGCGTCCTTGTTTAGTAATTCTAAGTCCTAGTACGCGTAAATGTATTCCATTTCAGAATTACGTTATGTGTGTGAAATTATTATTTAACCTTTTCTACGAAACTCAGTTTGCTTTTAAAGTTTCTTGTATTAAATGGGAAATTAAGATACACTGTGATTCAAGTAATCTATGAACGAAAAACAAAACATTTTCTATTAACCACATTTATATTATATTATATTATTTAAGGGTTAATTGAAACGATGGAAAAAAAATTAGTGGTGGCTATCTTAACTGCTGACTCTGACATGGCCAAATGATAAGACGCACACCCCCGATCACCCTCTTCGGCCAACCTATACCCTGGGCCAGAAAGGTCAAGTACCTAGGAGTCACCCTGGATGCATCCATGACATACCGCCCGCATATAAAAACAGTCCGCGACCGTTGGAACTTGCATAAGGCCCGTCATGACT